ATTTTAATTTTACTGGGCTCCCGCACGGAGGAATACCGGGGCTGCCGACAAAGGGCTTTGATGTCGGCAGGGGAGCGTCCAGACTAGTGCGCTGAGCGGACAAACAGCTGATCAGCTGTTTGTCAGCTCAGCGCGGCAGCCACGTAAATTTAAATGAAGCCGCGATCATTTAAATCGCAGCTTCATTTGCCTTTGCCAAAACAACAAATCTACATGGCTCCATCGACGGAGCCATATAGTTTAGACGTACCCTTAGATAATGAATGGGGGAAGGAAGGCATGGATTCACTCAGAGAAGTTTAAACCAAACAATCAAAATAAAGGAAAATATCCTGATCGTGACTAGATAACCCTTTTCTCTCTACTCACAATACATGCTGATCTGTACTTCAAGGTCCAGTTCACTTCCATGTCAAATATTTCTTATAGGCATAATAATTCTGAATATTGCATTTGCTCTCTTCAGCCCTTTTCTTAGAAATCCCCACAAAGGAAGAGCTGACCAGGTATTTGTAGCCAATTCAAATTTCAGCACTGTATCCCGTTGGTTCTTCTGGCCCCCTGCCAACACCCTTGCTAGTTACCAAGTTTAATCCCTTACTCACTGGGTGCTGGCCAGCACCCCTCCTATTCATCACAACCCTTTTCAGAATTAGAATACAGCGTTTTCAAACACCTTAGGATTGGAGGTTGTTTGAAAAACCTGAAATATTCATAACTCTGAACAAAATGTCATGGTTGTTCTTTCAAAGGTTTACAGTTGAACATTGGCCAAATACAGCTTTCCAACTTTGCTATGCAGAGAAAAATGCTGCTTTAAAACATTTTAATTTAAATAAAACAAGCTCAGAAACAGTTTCCTTATCTGGCCAAATCTTTGTTTTTGTAAACTTTCCCTTTATTTGTTCATACTGTGTTTGCCTTTTATTTTTTTGTCTCTGCAGCTAGTTGATTGTGTAATTCTGATTCCAAATGAGGTGTATGGTTGAGTCAGTTCCTAAACATGGCGCTGGTAACACTGAAGTGCTAGAATACTGATGCTCTCTTACAATAAAATCAGACCCCTATTTTGTTAAGTCAACTGTCTGACTGATAGGAAGCAATTTTCCCCATGAATACATTGCATGGAACATTTACAAACTACTTTTAACATTTCTGAAAGAACTACTGTCCTTTTCCTTGAGCGATTTAGCTAATATGCGGAACCTTATCTGTGAGATCTGTTAGTAGAAGAAACTAACGCTGAAGGCATTTCTCTGGGACTGTTTCTGTTTGTTTACAAAGCCTACACCAATGTTCAGTTTCATGGAAACAAACAGGCAATTTCCTTGTCATAATTTCCAAAGACACTCTCTTGGCTTCCTCTCAAAGCCACATTCACACATTCCCTCTCACTTGTTTACTTGCTTTCTGGTTGCTTTCTGCTTCTGACATGTATGGCTCCACCAATTCATGCCCCATTTTTAGTCATTCCCAAGGGGGAAAAATATCTCCTATTACCCCTGAGGTTGATCTTTCCTAGACCTTCCCTTGTGGTTCAGTGCCTTGCATCCCTGCCACCTGGGGTCCTGGCCACCAGGCCCACTGCTCTCAGTGCTCTGCTGCCAGTCTGGACCAGACTCTGCACCAGAGCTGGCGATCAGCAGGGGCCTGTCTACCAGCCTCAGCTCTAGAGGCTGGTGAGGGGTGCAGATGGAGAAAAAGGAGCAGCACTCAGCACCCCCCCCCCACTCCAAAAACTGTTTCAGCACCACTGCTGAGGCAGTTCATCCTGGTTTCTGAGCCAGCAGCCCATGCTCACTGAGTTGTTCACCATTCTAAACAGCTTCACTCATCTACAGTTGCATAGCTCTTGTAGCACAGGAAAAGGGAATTTAGTGTCCATCACAGCTGCAGCATAGGACTGCAACTATGTCTTCCCCCACATCAGACACTGAGTGCCAGGCCTGCTACTAGTGTTCTCTCCTCTTGGGCGGTCACGTTGCCGGGTCATCAAAGTAACCTGTGAGGAAGAAGATCGTTTTTTTGGTGGGGAATGTCGTGACAAGGGTAAAGAATCAGGGTAAATATTTCCTAACACTACACAAGAAAGCATATTGGACTCTACATGAGAATGACTCCTACGATTTTCTCTGCCTGTAAGCTTCATTGTAGGATTCTGCCT